AACAAGGGAGAGTGTGGGGAAGATGACACGTACCTGGTGATGGTGGAGGTCTGCATTGGTGTTGACATCATCACTCGCTGGTAGTCAAGTTGTCTGGTTGCTGTTCATTGCTGTAGTTGTAGGATAGGCTGTAGAGTAGATAGGGTGCCTGGCGCCATTCACAAGAGAGAGCTACATTTGGGTTATGCTGTTGGTGTTGCCCTGGTGGGCATGGACATTGACTCACGATTCTTCTGTATCATTCTCAATGGGATGGTTACTCGGTTCCATGTGCTATCTGCTATGGCTTTGAATACTTGGACTTCAGTGTGATTTTGCATTCTGGATTTCAGTGCTTCGTCCATACTCATGTTCCTTGCAGATGGTTGCAAAATCCTAGTACGGTAGCCACAGAAATTACCAGGTTCAATGTAATTTTCCAAGTGGGCAGTGCACAGGGCATCTACACCGACCGGGGCTTCCTTCTTCCTTCTGTCTTTCGGTATAATATTTCTGTATTTGACAGTATTAAAATTTCTCTATTTCTGTATTTTTCTGTATATTTGTGTATATTTGTGTATATTTGTGTATATTACTGACCAGGGATACTGAACCCGTTTTCCAGCAGGTGGTGGTCCCCACCAACAAAAAGGAGCCAGCTTGTGGCCGGGAGCAGTACCCGGTGATGCTCATAGCAACCTCAGTAATACACCTCGCCAGATGTTCAAAAAAGAAAAGGAAAAAAAAAAAAAAAAAAAAAAAAAGAGTAAGAAACGAAAAAGATCAGAGACTATCTTCACCCGAATATAACGCCCTGTCATTATAGCTGCATTTGGCCCACCTTTCAGTCCAAGTGCAGCGATAATGACCACCACGGGCGTTCTATTTCAGTGAATACGGTAGTGTAGTTTTCAGGTGCCCTGCACGATGCACTGACTCGGGCTCATGGCTGTATACTACAAATAACTGTGCCCAGATGCGGTTGAAATTGTGAGGGACGCCCGGCTTGTATCCCGGCTTCTTGATGATGATGATGATGATGATGATGATGATGATGATGATGATGTCATCAGACAGACAGACAGCAATCACATAATGTCATGTGGATGAACAATCTCAGACTGAACTCAAGAGACCTCTAAAGTTCAGAATGTAGTCGTGGACCATGACTACATTCTGAGCTCAGCCATGATAGCTTGTGGATGAACAATCTCAGAATGAACTCAAGAGACTTCTAAACATCAGAATGTAGCTGTGGGCCACGACTACATTCTGAGCTCAGCCATGATAGCTCATGGCTATGGCAAGCGTGCATGCCCACCCTATCGGCACAATAACTCAAGTGGAAGGTCCCCGCTTTGTATAATAATAAGGTGTGAATTCGGGGCAGTAACGGAAACAGTTTGAAAATGTATGCACTTCAGGCAATCACGGGAACACAACACATCTCCACGTGACCCCACCGGACCCGAAACTTAGGTTGTGTACATTCAACATTAGCGGCAGCTCTTTTGAGTGAAGTGCATTTTCAAACTCAAACCCTGACTGCACCGTAATTTTCTCGAATAATAAACAACTTTTTTTAAAAATATAAATATCAGGGGAATAATAAAAAAGATGTGTGAGTATCCCCGTCGAGGACGTTGAGGATGTGACTTTGTCCTGCCCCAAAGTAACAGGCCAAAAAAAAAAAAAGGGATGGGAAGGGGAAGAACCAAAGGGGGAAATTTAAAAGAATTGTCCAGCAAATAAGTCGACAGCCAGGCAATTGTTTTTTTGGATAATTTGCAAAATACCCCCATAAGTTGACATATATGACTATGTGACACCCACGGCCTACGCCGCGGCCGATGAGGCCCAGTCCGCGGCCTGCTTTTTCATTTTTTTTTTTTACCCCTAAAAATACGTAAAACAAAAATAAAAAAATATAGGGGTGTAGGGCTAGGAGAACCCTACAATCCTATGTTTTTTATTTTGGAATCCGACTTCGTTTAAGATTTAAAAAAAATGAAAAACGGAATTCGATTTAAACAAAATATATTTAAAAAAAAACGAAAAGCAGGAATTTTTTTTGGGCATTTTTTATCATGAGGGATATGATCCCTGGGACCTTGTCCCACTAGCTCCGTTGAGCTTGGTCAATGTGGGGTTTTCAAGCCTGTGTGACTGTACGCGACAAGGGAGATGCTAGTCGTCCAATTCATCTAACGGTCCGTTTCTAATAAAAAGGGCAATAGAGACCATCTTCGCTTTTTCTTACATAAAAAAACAGAAATAAATCCTTTCTCTCGAATACTACTACCCCTATCCGTTGAACTAGCTGTCTCCTTTTTTCGAGACAGCTAGTTCAACGACCCTCTTG